AAAAAAAAAAAAAAAAATATATATATATATATATATATATAGTAATATAGAATATAAATACACATTCATATTCACATATATTCTATTTTAAGATTTATTTTTGTCATTTTTGCCTTTATTGTGATAGGAAAGATCATAGCTGACAGAAAGTGAAGTGGGAGAGAGATAGGGGGCTGGGATCAGGAAAGGTCATCAAGTTGGGATTTGAACTCGGGACGCCCATAGCACAACAGCGCTGTATGTTAGTGCAGTGTTTCCCAACCTTTTTTTTGTCGCGGCACCTTTTGGAAATTTTAACAAACTTGTGGCACCCTACAAAATTAATTTTGTCACAATATTTGAATTGTCCATCAATGGTGGCAATCAGTAGGCTAATTTCTAATGAAGAGACCAATTTATATGACAGATTTTAATGTAGGCTTTTATACATATGTAAACATTATTTAATTACCATTATAACTAGCTATCTCACAAAATTTGTGTTTTTTTAATTTTACAGTGGGGTAATTTTAAAATTTCGGCGCATCTCTAATTATTGGCGACATCAGAAATGGATATTATATAATAGATACTTTTTTGATCATTTTAGCAATTTAAAAACATATAAAAAATATATATAAATACATATACATACAGTATATATTTTGAACATATTTACGTCTTTATTTATATTCATATAATGTATATTATAAATAAATATATTTAATATATAAACATAACATATTTTTCTGAAATATATACATGCATGTGTGTGTATTTATATATACATAATAAATATACACAGTACACATACATATATTATGTAAACAAAAACTTTTATTTTGGATACGATTAATCGCGATTAATCATTTGACAGCACTAGTTTAAATATTAAATTAAAATGTTAAAAATCTGCATGATCAATACAAACACATTACTGTTTGTACCAATGATTCAGCACTAAAGTCTGAGACTAACCAAGCTCAAAGAAGCTCAGCGACCCTTAAAGAAGGTCAGTGCGTCTTGCTCCAAACTCTCCCATGAGAGCACAGACCCACAAAATACTCTCTTTTGTGAGTGTAGAAGCAAACATGACACCCCACCGTGCCATTTTGATGGCTTCTAATAGTAACACGCACTGATACGGGTCTGGCTTTCTAATCCTGCTGCTCTAAATTGGAAAAATTGACCTTGCTCACAGAGGTGACTCAGATTTGCTCTCTTTGACATTTCTGGGACTTAGCAGAGTTTTCTGTTAAGATGAACAAGGCCTGGAGGACGAGCGAATATTTCATGAGTAATTTAATATCTGGAGCATGCACATGGTCCTCTGTGAATTAGGCTCTGAAAATAGTAGGACGGTATCAGTTGACAGCACCCCAAGTCTTCAGTTTTGGGGAAAGTCATCAAGGTATAGCCTCAAAGAATATGTGAAAGAAAGAAACAGAATAATTAAACATAATAATGATAATAATATAATGGTCTGGGAAGATAAACTCTTCCCCATCTCACGCTACTACATTTAGGTGACACACAATAGATTTTGTCAGGTATAATTAGCAGATTGACATATGTTTATGTTATTAGATATGGGATTGTGTGGGCACAATAAAACCACCATCAAGCAGGCACAGCTTGTGCAAACAGGCTGATGGTATTGATCTCACCATCGGTTTAGACATGGAGCCCGGGGGCAGGGGTCTGGGGAGCAGCTCTCTGCCACGCTTCAAAACCAGGAGGACAAGATCAAATAAGTAGTTCAGTCAAGCAAATGGCTACCAGTCAATAATTCTCTTTTTATGGCACTGATATCCACTTCACGCCTGATTCATTATTGAACTGGATCCCAGGCACGTAAGCGATGCAATGCATCTGATATTGTGTCAACAAGGCGATTAAATTACTTTTATAGAGGCACATGCTAGTTTTTTTTAATTACTATTTGCAAATATTTATTTTGAATTGTCATTCTGACTGTTGTGGGTTGCTCTCTCATGGAGATTTAGGGAAAAACAAAACAGATATAAAATAATACAATAGAATTTGCTGCCCTCCTGTGACAACTGCTGAACAAATGCAAGATTATCTGCATGTTTAGCCATTAAAATCATACTGTGTTTCATGAAACACAATGTGGTACATTTGGCATGTAACAATTGTTTTTGTAAGAAATAATATATGAAATATATAAAACTACTTTCTCAAAATAAGATAAATAACAGTCTTTTATACTAATCTATTAACACAAATAGCGTATTGTACAAATAGTGCTCTGCATAATCGACTAACACCATTTTGTTAAATATTTATATTACAATATTATGATATAATATATAATATGTATATATTATAATATCTAATATCAATAATTACTCTAACTTTTGAGTTATATATATATGTATATAAACGGAATTAATATAAGGGATTTGTAAAGTTTAAACAAAGAAAAGTTATGAGGTAAATTCTAAATATATATATATATATATATATAATATATAAATATAAAATAAAAATTAAGCAAAAAAACTATAAACTGAATGAACAGAATGGATGTGTAAAGATCAGGAGTGAGGCTTTAAAGAAGGATATCTTCAGATTATGACGTGCAGGCCTGCAGTTGGCCGAGAGGATGCTGAGAAGTCAGTGCTCGGGTTATTGTTAAGATTAAAGCATGGCTGGTGAGTGGCTAGTAAGCTCTGGTTATGTCTCTGTTTTATCAGCTTTAATGGAATTCCACTTTGAATGTTTTTTTTAAACAAGCCTCTGCATGGATAGACCTAACAGTTGTGGCAGGATCATACGGAACTCTGAATTTGTCTTAAAGGAGTAAACCCTGTGGTAAGACATCTTATCATTTATCCTGAGAATATTATACCTTACAGTATAAAATACAGTGGAAATAATATCATGAGCAGTACACAATGCTGTTTATTCTTTTTATCATGCTTATAAAAATATTACAGAAATCAGTGGAACTTATTTTTTATGATTCTTGTTAAAGATTAAATATACAGTATATATGTGCAAAATATGTGATGCAACTAGCCTATATATAAAAAATTCCGAAGTTTGTGTCTGTGAAACCGTTCTTTCTCATTAAGCCTGTCAGAGAAGGAGACCACCAGACTGCAAAGATGAAAGTGAAATGGACAAAATTAGGAATGGTCCTCTTTCTGCTTCTCTCCTTTGTAATGACGGGCTGTTTCATTTGGCAGTACAGACTTCCCAAAGCAAAACCAGGTAAATTAAAATCCAAATTAAAAGTGCTACTGTACAATAGAAAGATTGGGGAAAAGGCCATCAAACCTCAATGAATGAATGGCGAATGCTTATTTTGAAAAAAGGAGGCATTTTTCTCACAAAAATAAAAAATCTTGTTCTTATTCTTTTTTTTTTGTTTACTTAATGGTTAGAAATGCCTGACAGCATTAATAGCTACAGGGAACATCCTTACATTATTTTGCTTTTCGATCTCCTTGTGCTTAATTAATGGTTTGCAGGAGTTGTCTATGGATTACCCAGAGCTCGACATAGTGGCTTGTAGATTACTGCATGCTGTAAAGCCTGATTATCACTGGGGGGAAGGGAAAAACAACTTTGTGTAAAATACATGATTATGGACTGAACACCATGCTCCATTTCATGTCAAATGCACTATATTATATAATGATAAATGACATATGAGTGATTCAGGCATTAGCATGCTATTTTATGTTCAGCCCCAATGTTTTGTGCTGCCTTTAACACAAAATAGTTCATAATTGTTGTGTTTACAAATGAATGTGAGTCACACTGACAGTATCATATGTTTACTTATTTGTCATAGCATACATATAATCTTTTTACTTTGCAGTGGATAAAAGTTATGCAAAAGAAGTGAAAGAGGAGAAGATGTGCCCACGTTTCCCTGAGCCTGTGCCATTGGAGCACCCGATACCTGTCCTCATGGAAGCTTTGGACAAGGTCAGACCGCCAAGTCATTTACAAGTTCTTTTGGTCTGGATTCCTGACTAAAATTGTCTGATGCTGATAAATAAGTTTGAAAACTATTACAAATATGATTTACTCCAGGTGGATGCATTTTTGAGGACCAGCATTGATGCCACAAAACTGCCAGCCATCTCTGCCATTGTAATATTTAATGATTCTGTATTGTGGAATGGTAACTTTGGCAGAAGGAATGGAAGTGACCCCACATCTCCCCCAATAAATGAGAACACAATTTACAGGTGGGTTATAATGGCTTTGTTATGATTTGATGATTATGCTCCACCTTCTCTGGCTTAGGGGTGTTTCACGATTAATTAAAGTTTAAATAACAGGGCATAATTCAACTATGTATTCTTTTTACATAGGCTATACAGTATATGCTCAGTTTATATCAGTGTTGCCAAGTCCACAGTTTTCCTGCAGACTTGTGCTGCTTTTATACTGTTGCAATTGAGCTGGTTTTGTTACACAGACCTGGCAACCCTGGTACACAAACATAAAATGTTTAAGTAACTACAAAAGTTAGAGTACACATTTAATAGTAAGGTCACGTTTATACAGTTATTCCGTAAATTTTAATTTCAATAGGAATCTAAGCAGTCAAATACATTAGCTAACAAAAATCTGTTCTAAGAAAATTTTTCTAAAATTTCCATTAAGTTTTGAAAACATTTTTGTATTTATGCATGTAAACTTCTTTTTTCTAACATTATGTGAACATTAGAGAAAACATTAAAGGCAGGGTATGTGATTTTTCAAATTTTTGGTTGCGCAGGAGCAAAAGTTTCCCCAAGCATCAGTTACACCAACAAAATATAAGTAACAAAAACTGTTGTTTAAATATCTTTAACGCTAATCGAGAACATTCGTACCGGCAACGTTCTGGCAAGGCTATCTCAAAGTTATGAACAAACTTTTTTCAAGTAATGTTAATAGAGCGTTCGTTGTAAGTTATTCGGTCATTAATAATAACATTCTCAAAACTTTAGCAAACATTATTTAAATGAAATTTTTTTTATTTACATGAAATAATTTTATGAAATATTTTGGTTAAACGTTAAAAAGTAACTTTTCCACACTGTTTGCAAAATGATAACATGGAATTAATGTTACCTTAAAGGCAGAGTAAGTGATTTCTGGTAGCCAATGTTGATATTTGAAATCACCAAAACAAACACGCCCTTACCCCAAAAGGGTCTTGCCCCTATTTTGATAGCTCGAAATCACTTACTCTGCCTTTAAGGTAACATTAATTCCATGTTATCATTTTGCAAACAGTGTGGAAAAGTTACTTTTTAACGTTTAACCAAAATATTTCATAAAATTATTTCATGTAAATAAAAAAAATTTCATTTAAATAATGTTTGCTAAAGTTTTGAGAATGTTATTATTAATGACCGAATAACTTACAACGAACGCTCTATTAACATTACTTGAAAAAAGTTTGTTCATAACTTTGAGATAGCCTTGCCAGAACGTTGCCGGTACGAATGTTCTCGATTAGCGTTAAAGATATTTAAACAACAGTTTTTGTTACTTATATTTTGTTGGTGTAACTGATGCTTGGGGAAACTTTTGCTCCTGCGCAACCAAAAATTTGAAAAATCACATACCCTGCCTTTAATGTTTTCTCTAATGTTCACATAATGTTAGAAAAAAGAAGTTTACATGCATAAATACAAAAATGTTTTCAAAACTTAATGGAAATTTTAGAAAAATTTTCTTAGAACAGATTTTTGTTAGCTAATGTATTTGAGTTGCGCAACTTGTTGATTTGAAATTCAAATATAGATATACATATTTACATTATAAATATTTAGCATTATACATTTATAGTTATGGCTCTTTTTGTAATGTGCTTCTTTGTTGTTTGTTATGGTTATACCACCAAAGAATTGCAAGTCTGTCTAAAATCTTCCCCACCTTGATGCTGTACAAACTTTGGGAGGATGGAAAAGTGGGTTCCTTGGATGACCCCCTGGGGAAGTATGTTAAGAACTTCACTATAAAAAACCCTCTAGGGAAAAGAAGGGATCATGACCTCAAGTCCACCTCTGACGGCATGAGCAGTAGAGAGGCTCAAGTCCACATCTCCTCAGTTACCCTGAGAAGGATGGCCAGTCAGCTGTCAGGTGAGGACTACAATATCTGTAACTGACCTCAAGGTGGTGTTTAGATCAGTAATAGATGATGATTAGCATCTATACAATTAGTGCTGTAAAAATAAAGAAGGTGAAACCTGTAATTAGATCAACTGTTTTTAGACTAAGAATTTCCACGGCTACCCTAATCAGCCTAATCAGTTGCCTAACATGACTAAGTGGGTTTGCCTCTAGTGTATGATTAGACCTGAAGGAATGGCCTAACATACTGTACTCAGCTTACCCCAAGCTGATGTTTATATAATGTGCCAGAAATAGTGGTGCTGATTATACTGGTACACTTAATTGCATTCAGAAATAGCAATTTTAAGTTTAAGACAGGAAATTTACAATGGAATAGTTTCCTTCAATTACAAACCAGTTTGTAATGAAAAACCATCTGCCTTGGAGTAAAAAAAAAAAAAAAAAAAAGAAGAAATAA